GTGCTGCTCTTCGCCGCCTCGGTGCTCACCGTGGCGGCCTGGCTGCTGCAGTACTGGCGTTCTACGGCCCTGCGAGCGCTACAGCGTCGCGGACCGGCGGCGGAGGAGGCCGGAGCCCGGGCGCTGCTCGCGGCGCTTCTCGCCCTCAGGTCTCTACGGGAGCAGTGGCAGCGAGCTTGGGTGCGAGCTCTCAACAGCCAGGCGCGCCGGCACGGGGTACGGCAGGGCACGAGCGGGGGCGCGCGGGGAGCGGCAGCGAGCTGAGGCGGGCCCATCCGCCTGCTCTTCGTTCGCGGGGTCGGGACAGCCCTTCCCCGTAGGGCGCTCCGGCCGGAGGAGCCCTTAGACAGCAGGAGCCGTGCGGACGGCTCGGCGCGGCCTGCGCGGGAGTGCGCTGCGGTGTGCGAGCGCGGAGGGAGCGGAGCGGGTTACCACGCGTCGTTTAATGCGGGTTGGGGCAACACTGTAGTCACTCTGATGTTTCCACAGCAAGCTCTTCGAAATGTTCTGGTATTTATTTTCTTTAATTTCCCAGTATTGCCATTGTATTAGCTGTAGTTTTGAAGTTCACGAAGGACAGTATGCCTTGATGATTCCATGTGGAAATAATTGCATTATAGCTTGTGTTACCTACAAGGCAGGGACTTAATGCCCACAGAAACAGTGGTCCAAAACATTTCAAGGTCTATTGTGATCTCGGTTTTTTTTCTGTCGTGTGAGTGGGAAGGGGTTGCCTTTCTGTTAAGTTGTATAGGAAAATCAAGAGTTAAAAAAGGTTAGCATGAAACTAACATATTTGAAGACAAAGCAGTTAAAGTCTTGAAGAATATGATGCAAACTTGTGTTTGAGTTTTCCAGCAAGATAGGAAAAGCATCTCCCTTTTTCACAGTGGCAAACTCTAGATTGGATTCAGTGTGAAGTGTCTTCTGCCATTGGGCTTAGTGCTTCCCCAATTCCCCTGTAGAAACTCACCCTCTGCTTCCATGCCCCTCTTATCACAATGCAATAGTCATCATGTCAAAGTGCTGCCAGTTTCCCAAATGTGATACGCCATACTTTTCTGCCATGTGTTGAATTACTGAGATTCTCACAAAATGACCAGAATGTGTAAGTTCCAGAATTTAGGACTCCTGTAAAGGGAAGATTAGCTGGTGGCTGAATTGGCATGGAGGCCCCTGGAGGGCCACACTTCAGTTTCTGCTGCAGCTGCTCCTTGTCTGGGGCATGTCTGCTCAGAAAGCAGCACTGCCTCAGTGAGTTGCTGGGTCTAAAATCTGTTTTCTGAAGCGAGGTCTGGAAGTTGTCCAGGAGGACTTTGTCTTATGTGAGATTCTGGGTGAGATTTGGCCTTTCTTGGAGGTGCTTATATCTGCTTGTGAATTCAAGCTTTAACTGGACACCTTGTTTCTGTTCTCTGTATGGACAAGCTGAGGTGGGTAGAATTACAGTGTGCAATAGTTCTGGGTGCTGGTTTGTGAAAACAGACTGGAGTGTCTGTGGAACCTGACATTGGGTGTCTCTGGGAACTAACAGAGTTTTCTCTTTGCAGAGTTCAGTGCAGATCATATTTGAAGAGGGTCCTCAGTTACCACAAGCCACAAATATAAGTTGTGTGACATGCAAGGGACAGTTGGACCACAGCATGGTAAGGCTTTGTTGTTCTGAATGTACAGTGTGGCATTTCTCCATTGGTGGTGTGTTCTACAGAGGCTGCTGAGGCTTTCGTGATGGAGGTGGTGGAGCCGAGCAGGTTTTGGGTGAGGTCTGTTTGAAGGAGTTTGGAAGCCTGTCTCCTGTTTGGAGGCTCTGGAGCTGCACATCGGTGAGCTCTGTGAGGGAAGTTACGTTGGTGGAGCCAGGATGTATGAATGCCGAACCCAAACATCAGAGTCCTGCTGTAGAGAGCAGAAGAGAGCTCTTGTCACAGCACAGGGTCTGAAGTGTCAGGTTTGCATTGTGGAACTTGGTGAGAATAACATAGCTGCCTCTTGCCAGGATGTAAATTCATCTTTTCTTTTTAGGTGCTGTGCTGCCATCTGTCAGCTGAAGCTGTGAAATTCCCTGTCTCTGTTACTCAGCAGTCCCCAGTTGCTGTTTCTGTGGACACGTATCATGTCACTTTGGCTGTGCTGCAGGCTCAGGTAAGGGTTATAAGAAGTTAAACATTGACCTTACTCCTCCACCTAGTCCCACACTGATTGAGGAAGGAGGACCTGGTTCAGTACAAATAAAGGCCTTGTTGGTCTGGAAGAAGCAGTGTGCAGTCACTAACATTTGGTGAGGTGGCAAATATTCCCCATCTGCATGCCGAGTCTTGTCTTCAGAGTCTTCATCTGCAGATTTTGGCTATGAAACATAGCTGTAAGAAATCCTAGAGAGTTTTGAGTCATGGCAGCATTCTATACTGGCTTTGAAGGGGGTATTTAAGAAGTGGGAAGTCCAGAGAATTCAATTCCTCTTGTGGCATAATGGAAGGGGAAAGGTATGTCCTGTGGATATATGAAAGTGTGGTGTCCTCGTAGTGGGTGTGAAAAAGAAATCTATGGGCTTGTCAGTTCCCCTCATTACGTTCACCGGAGCACAACACAGCTTTTTCTGGGCATTGAATATCGGAGATGCTTCTCCCAGCAAAAGGGGCTCTGAAATCACAATGGGTGGTAACTCCATAGTTACTTTCCAGCTGGATTTGATTCTCTGGAATGTGGATTTGTTTCCATCATGATGAAGGACGTAACACTGGAGATGATACTTTGCTTGGAGGCAGTGTGCTCATATATGCACCAAAAAAAAAAAAAAAAAAAAATTAAAAAAATAGACATGGCAAAATTAGAAGTAACTCAGCGGTAGCAGAAACCAATCCCATGCTGTTGCAGGCAGTTTGAAGCTTCTTCTGGAACTCTTTTGCTCTCAGAAGCTTTATGAAAATTTTCAGCCTACTTTTATCAGGTCATTCTAGTTTGATTTTGTACCTCTGTTCTGTAGTCATCTCCTCCAGAGATCCAGAGCTCCAGAGACCTCCTCTCTCTTTAGCATGTAGTGTGCCTGCTGCCAATCTAGTTCTGGACAACTGGAGTTGCTTTTCATCTCTGAGAGGTCCCCTTTTTCACATCTCATCCGATTGCTCCTCTACTTACTGGCATCTTCTAGGTCTCCTTGTCTGCGCCTGATGAAGTTCTGGGTTGATTGTTCATTTAAGGAGTTGCATGTGGTATTCTAATTGAGGTCTTGCTGCCGCTGCTTTATGAAATGCTGGATAGATTACCGCATGCCTGCCTGTGTTCTGGAATACTTCAAGTACTGTGTTCCCAGTTGTGCCCTGTCTATTCTGCACACCTCCTTTTGGTTTACGTGACCGCTGTGTCTCCTATCTGTTGCTTTTGTCCAGTGACCTTCTGTGTTGTCAGTAAATGTCAACCTGGCAATTGAGAACTATGTTGAATTTCGTTACCCAGGTTTTAGCAGTGCTCTACGGTCAATTCGGTTCAGTTCCTGTGTGGCTCTGCCTCTGTCTGTCACATGCTTTTATGATGCTTTTATTTTATGCATTATTTTTATTTATTAATTTTTTATTTATGCATTATTTTTAATGATGCTTTTATGGACACATGGGTGTGCAACTTTTTAACTTCACCTAAACTACAGGATGGTGTACAGTCTGGTTTGTTGTTGCAGCCTAATGGTGACCCAGATGGGTCTTCAGCCTGAGGATTATCTCCTAGGGATGCATTGCTAACTTATAAATAGTTGTGCTTACATTTGACAATAGCTAATTGATGTATGTAGCTCAGTAAATATCCTATGTATTGGTGTCCAGTTGGGCACTTTTGGATTGTACTGCAGGCTTTTTCTTCAGTCAAAGAAATAACAGATCATTTTTCTCTCTAGTGGTGCCTGGGCATCCAACAGCAGTGAGGGAACCAGATATCACTATAGAGCATTGAGGCTTCTGCAGCTGCTTCATCCTGTCAGTTTGGGAGTACTTGTGTTCTTATGTTCTGGTTTTTACTGTTGCACTGGCTTGAGGGCCTTTCAGTCGCTGAATTCGGAATGGGGCAAAAATCACCTAGTATAAACAGAAACTGTTTCCAACTGTGGGTAATTTGTTCTGGGCCAGGTGGAGATCCACTTGGAGGAGATACAGAATGAGGGTCTCCTAGTGTCATGGACATTCAAAGACAGACCAGACTTGGACCTTTTGGTTCTTCCGCGACTTGAGCTTCCTGAGGTGAGTCGCCAACAGTGAGAGGCTGACTGTGAGTGGAGGAAGGGAGTAAGGAGCAGAAACAGCTAGAAGGCAGGTTGCTGTGGAGGAGAAGGGTTGGCAACTCACTGCCATGGCCCTTTAAGGCAGTGGAGGGGATTCTTTCATCCTGGAATCCATACTAGCTCAGTTGTGTCAAAACAGCATCCTCAAGAGGACTGAGGTGGTACCAGTATCTATTGAAGGCTTTCTATGTAGGTTCCTCCTGCCGTTGTCAGACGTAGAGCTGCCACTTTTTTTTTGTGTGAGGTGGTGTTTGCTTTTTGTTGTTGTGTTAGCTTGGTTATGTTGGTTAAGTTTGGTTGGGTTTTTTAGAAGCGATTAATTAAGATTTAAGAGATTAATGTGGGGAATCCCTGGGTTAGAGGTTTAATGAACAGAATGTGGATGTGCTTGCACATCCGTGATCCAAATAGGTTGGTAGATTCATTGTTTTATTGACACCTTTGTTACTTTATCCTGAGTAGATACAGGAATTCGGCTGTTTTCCCAAAAGTGTGGTGGCACTATCTCCTGAGGTAGTGAGCATGTGACAGACTATAAAAGCTGTATTGTAAAAATTTACACTAGATAAAGTACAGAAGTAGAGGCTTAGTTTGTCACATTTAGAAAGCTTGCGTTTGCCTGAGCTGCTACACAGAAGATTTAAGCACCGAGGAGGATGGGTATGGAATATGGGAAGAGTATCTAGGAGGTTATTACTGGGACAATGACTGTGTAGCATATTAGAGACTTGAGAGGCAGGTGGAGCTGTAAAGGTGTCCTTTTTTTTTATGACTTTCCTGCATTTCCTCTTGATTTACGGAGAGAAGGATGAAGGGAGAGCAGATCTGTCCACTATAAAGGACCTGATTGAGGATACCATTGTCAGCACGAAGCCAGCCGTGATGGTGAATTTGATGGCCTGCACAACTGGAGCCAGTGCAGTAAGTCACTCTTCTCATGTCATTCTTGTGCCTCAAACACAGGCCCCCAAGACACTTCTGAGGGCTGAGGGTCAGGCAGGAAACCAAGGGTTGAGTTTCATTTCTGGACAACAGCTGAATCTCGGCCTGCTCTGTCATAGGAGTTTGGGTACTGTGACATGACTCATAGGGATAGTTAGAAATTGCTCCCAAGGGCAACTCCTTCCACTTTTTTTCTTGAATGCTCATTGTCAGCCATGTGCTTGCAGAGCTGGACTGCCTGAGGTATGTCTCTCCGTTGGCAGTCGCCCTTGCTCTGATCACCAAGGCTCTGTCCAGGGCAGCCTTTGCGGGTGTGGAATGGCCCATGGTTTGTCATCATCAGTTGATGATCTGGTAGCCAGCGAGCTTGTTCTTCCCTGTCTTCTTTTCTGTCTGCCTTAAACTTCTCATCTGAAATAACACGAGGGCCCACTGGAGGTCAGTAGCTTTGGATACCTGCAAGCATTCCTTGATGCTTGCGGGTATTCCCCTGTGTTGGTGTGAGGAGCTACTTAATAGATACAAGGATGATCCGTCTTGCTGCTATCTGCTGGCAAGTGAACGATAAAGGTATCGGTCTTGCTCTTGTCATTCCTCAGGTACCCAGTAATAAGTTGACTCGAGAGTCCCTGTCTGGAGTAGCAGCAGCCCCTCTGGGTTCTAAGCTGTTGCTCCGGAATCTTCGAGTGCTGAACTTGGGCTGCCAGGGGAAGGGAGGTAAGTGTGAAAACCTCCCTTGCTGACCCACAGGGCCAAGCATGCAGGTGGCAGGATTGGAGCGAGTGGACGTTTTGGGTGCTTTTGAATGGAAAAGAGGGCCATGTGCCTGATGATACACTGCCTCTTGTTGATGAGTGCACTTGTGCCCTCTGTCTTTCTGTTGCAGGAACTGGGGAGATACGCTGTGTGGTGGAGCTAGACAGCCCCCCACAGCAGAAGTCGACGAGGCCAATGACAGGTGGCAGTGTCAATGCTGCAGGAGAGATGGAATGGAATGACGAGTTTCTTCTGTAAGTGTCTGCTCTCCTTCTGGCTGGCAGAGCATAGGTGGACCGGCACAGTCTCTGGGTAACATTGCCATGCTGCAGTAACTGATGTGCATGCTGCTGAGGTGAAGTCTGCACCACGGGACAGTGTCCATTTGTGATCCCCCTGTGCTGGACTGCTGATTCTGGCATTTTGCCCCAGCTCACATACATATTTCTCGCTTCACTGAACACTCTGTGTTTTAACTGGATGGGCAGAAACACTGATTGTAGGTGCAGGAGGTGCAGTGGGGCTGTAGCATAAACAGCCTTCCAGAGGGATTGCCCTCTCAACTTCCACTGGCAGCCCTACACAGCTCTGCAGGGTAGTTCTCATTCGTGTTATTTGGTGCTCTAGTCATGTCCTCCACGGTAGTGGCATGCTACTGAAACTTTGGAGAGAGTGATGAGGCGTGTGACATTTGAGGGAGGGAAGATAAAGAATGCAGTTGTTTGTTCCATGGCCATTTTAAAAAGGAGTGCCTAATACCAGTCTGTCTTTGGTTTCAATAGGGAGTTGGGACCTAGAAGCAAAGAACTGAAACTACAGGTGCTGGGGGACAGCGACGGAGGGGGAAGTGAGTATGAGCAGCCATTAGTTGGGTTGTAAGATGGGGAGGCAAAAATGCCTAAGGGACTCACTGTGCTTTAAGCTCATGGTAGTTCTCTGTCGGTACAACATGTGATGACTTCTGCAAAGGATTTTTCATATTTAGCTTTATGTGAGCTTCTGTGACTGGGTGAAGTAACTCTGGGTTCTCTTTTTACCGAAACGGTCTGGGGCTGACTTTGAATCAGGAGGTTCCTGTGGCCTGCCCGTCTGCATTCTGAAGCAGGGAGAGGCATGCGGAATTTTGCCTCTTGTGTTAGGAGAGCTTTGCATAAGGCTCTTAACTATTCTTTTGTACTCAGTTGGACTAACTGCAGCATCTATTTTTGATGGAGGCCACACAGTGGCCTTTTAAAGGGAGTTGATACCTGAATTGTTAAAGAGGAGTGGAGGAGCACTGCCTGCCCCTTCTCCTTCTTGAACTTGGGAGTTAGCGGAGTTGTGGGGATCTGCTGTGTTGGCCCATAGAGCTGCTTCCCTAAAGCAGAGATTACCTTGGAGATGTGCGAGGTGCTGTGTTGCTGTTGGACACGGAGTGATTCACACAGACACAGCTCAGTGTGTGATAGAAAAAAGAGAGTGATTTATTTTGTGGTTTCCGTAGTTATAGATTTTTGGCAATGACCAGGGATTGGATAGTTAGGTTACCGCTTTCCTAACTACACTGGTCGTGAGAAACGTTAATGAAAAGACATTTCTTTAATGGAATGTATAAACATCTATGTTTACAGTTACTTTCCTGGGAAAGTGGCTAGAAACTATGAAAACAAGATTAGAAGGTTTAATTCTTAGGGCAACAGTGCTGAGGTCATGCGAAGTGTTCCATTTTTACTCTTCCTTCTTGCAGATGTGCTGCTGGCATATGCCACGTTTTTGCTAGATTCTTTGGGCAAGCAACCATCTGGGAGACAGGTCTGCTCACTGGCCCCGGGAGCTGGACAGTCACTGACAGCTGAAGCTGCCATTACATTGGAGGTAATGCAGAGCTCGTGACCCCACAAGCTCTGCACACACGCACACTCCGGAAGCATTCATAACATGAGCCTCTAGCTGGAGACACGCATGTTTGGACCTGAGCTTGGTACAGAGAACTAGCAGACCCTTATGCCATGGAGGGGTGGATGTCATCTGACCCTTGGTCCCTGAGCCTCCCGCTATTGAACTGATACTGTACTGGGGATGGCTCCGTGGTGCCCAGAGCCCTAGCTTTTGTTGCCCAAACATGCCTGCCTTTCCATCTGGGAAGAAGAGCGCCTCTCTGAGCAGTGCTTTACTCTTTATAGCTGCTGTTCCAGGAGTCTCCTGCATCTTTGAATGCTCCACACGCCCCGTCTCTGCGAACCAGCATCACCCCCACTAAGAAGGTGGAGATGGACCGGACCATCATGCCTGATGGCACCATTGTGACTACTGTCACCACAATTCAGTCCCGGCCCAAGGCAGACTGCAAACTGGGTGAGGCTGCGCAGCAGCAGGTGTATTGTACAGGTGGCTCCTGTGGCAGGACAGACTTAGCTGCGATACTCCCATGGCTGCTCATGAAGGCAGCAGCAAAACCGTTTAGCCATCACATCCGGTTATTGCAGGTTCACGCTTTACGTGTTGCTTGTGGTGTGTGGGTCGGAACACAGGCCTCCTTGCTGTTCCCCTAGAGTCTTTGTGGCTGCCTGGAAACTCTTGTGTAGCCCGAGGGGAGAGAATTGACGTAGCTCTGCGTCTGGGGGGAGGTGAGGGAGGGATGAGCCTATCGCACACCCTTTTGGTGGTAGGAGGTCTAATGCATATGCCACCACATAACCTCTGCATGATGTCAGGCTGAGTGTTTAGCCATGCTTTCTCTAGTTTCTTCACTGCTAAAGAAGTTAGGTTGAACATACTGAATGTGAGCCAAAAGCATGTTGACCTGGCTTACTAGGGGTTGTTGCTGCTTGTGGTCTGGCATCCTGGTGGTGCTGGATATTCCAAGAGGTGGGGCTGGAAAATTACACGAATGAGGTATTGCTGTGCGCCTGCTTCACAAGGTTGCAGCCCAGCAAGGCAACCTTGTCCTGGGCTGCATCAAAAGAAGCGTGGCCAGCGGGTCGAGAGAGGCGATTCTCCCCCTCTGCTCCACACTTGTGAGAGTACTTGAGTACTCGCCTTGAGTACTGGCCCCCCAACACATGAAAGACATGGACCTGTTGGAGTAAGTCCAGAGGAGGACCGTTAAGTTGGTCACATACCTGGAACACCAACCTGTGCAGAAAGGCTGAGAGAGTTGGAGATGTTTAGGCAAGAAAAGAGAAGGCTCTGGGGAGACATTATAGCAAGCAGCCTTCCAATACCTAAAAGGGGCTTACAGGAGGGCTAAAGAGGGATTTTTTACAAGGGCATGCAGTGATAAGGCAAGGGGGAATGGCTTTAAGCTGAAGGAGAGTAGATTTATATTAGCCATTGGGAAGTTTTCTCCTCTGGGGGTGCTGAGGCACTGGCACAGGTTGCCCAGGGAAGCTGTAGTAGTTTCCCCATCCCTGGGAAGTGTTCAGGACCAGGCTGAATGGGGCTTGGAGCAACCTGCTCTAAGGGCAGTCTGGCTGAAACTAAGTGATCTTAAAGGTCCCTTCCAACCCAAACCATTCTGTGATTCCGATTTTTTCCTAGTGGGCTTCTTACTGCTTTGCTGCCTCAAAGCCTTACAGAGCTGCCTTGCAGGCTCTCCGAATTGTTCGCTTGAGGTTTTTTGGGGTTGTGTGTAGGGGGCACAGTATGATAGAATAGTCGTGTAAGCTTTGTTTCCACTTACCAGTATCTCGGTGTCTCTTTTGCTGTAAAGATTCACCATCAAGGTCGCCTTCCAAAGTGGAAGTGACTGAAAAGAAGACAACAGTGCTTTTGGAGACCAGCTGTCCTCACGGCCACTTGCCCAGCGGTAGCTGTAAGTGCTTGGAAATTTGAGGCTCTTACTGAAGTAACTGTGTTCCTTAGCCTGTTGTAGAAAGTGGCAGTCTAAATGCAGTTCCCTGAATTCACTTGCCTTTTCTGCTTCAGAGAAGGTCCAAGTGCCTGAATAAAGTTGGGGGCAGAAGGCTGGTGGTGGTGATGTGGGGGATAAAAGACATTCCCCTTTGACTATCCAGTCAATGACTACGAGTGTTTCCTTGCTCAGCAAGAACTTTGCAGGCTATCTGGACCCAAAGAACTTTGCTCACCCTGCACTTGGGGCTCTGATTGTGTCTGGAACAGAGCACTGCAGATGTTTTGACAGTTTGCTGCCAAAGCAAGCTATTGGAA